GGGCCGCCTGGGGTGAGTCGGGCAGAAGCCCCGCGCCTCGGCCGCCCGGCGTAGCGCTCCGTGCGGGCGCCGGTCTGCGGCCTCCAGCGCCGCCTCGGCCGCGAGGCGTTCGCCTCGCTCGTTTTAAGCGCGCCCCTGACGTACCTCTCTGGGCTCCGCTTGCCGCAGGTCTCATCACCAGCAGCCAGTCCGCAGCTTACGCGATCAGCAAGTTTATCAGCGGCGTCCTCTCTGATCAAATGAGCGCCCGCTGGCTCTTCTCATCTGGCCTTCTGATGGTGGGCTTGGTCAACATGGTCTTCTCCTGGAGCTCCACCGTGACAGCCTTTGCTGGGCTGTGGTTCCTGAATGGGTTGGCTCAGGGCCTGGGGTGGCCACCCTGTGGGAAGGTGCTGCGAAAAGTAAGTATACGCTCCAAGTGCTGCGGGAAGCTTACTGCAGCCCTTGTGAGCTCTCCCAGCAGCAGGTCTGCCTGCAAAACGTTGCAGGAACGCTTGCTCTGAGGCCAGAGGAATTCACAGCTATTCCTGCCTCCTCCTAGCTGGGGAGGTCTAAAACACCAGCCGTGCTTTCTTCTGCCTCGGAGTGAGATCCCATGCACCGGATCCTGTTTTGCCTAGCAACAAGTCAAAGAGCGCATCAGTCCCATTCTAACTCGCTTTGGTAACTAGTGTCTCCTGGGAGTAGTAGGCCTTTTCAGTTATGAGAAACATCAGCTGCTAGAGTCCAGTATTTTAAGCAGGAGGGTGGAGGTCTCCTAGTCGCTTTGCTGTTGTGGTTGTCTGGTGCTGGCAAAGGGAGTGACAAACGGTATTTGGTTTGCACTCTCTGTGGGCTCAGGAGTTATAAATTGCAGCCTGTTCAGGCGGGATACCCGGTAATGAATGGAACAGCATGAGTCAAGCTTCTAAGCTGTATGTATTTGGGTGTTGAGGCGATCTAAATAGAACAGATCGATTTCTGCTTTGTGACATCAGGGGAAGGAGTTTAGCTGTACGCAGCTAGATCTCAGCGCTTCCGGATCCCACTAGGAGCACTCGGACAGCTTAGGCTTAGTGGGCACAAAGAAAGCAGTGCAATGGGAAAATCTGTGTTCCCTCTACACCAACTTGGTGGGACTCTCCCTGCGATAAAATAACGTGAAATTCTTGACTGTGTGCAAGACGTGAAAGGATGTAAAATCCAAGAGTGCACGTACTTACAGGAAAAGGGGAGATGAACAGCTGTATTGCCCTTCTCTGAGGCATCTAGCCCTACAAGTCGGGGGGAGTTGGCAAGGAAAAGACTTCCTGAGATGGTTTTGTACACATAAAGGAAACTTGTGGATAGTGAAAACGATACACGTAGTGTTTTCTGAAAACATTCAGGAGTGTGGCTCTCAGTTGCATTAGCTCCTTCTGAAAACATTCAAGAGTGTGGCTCTCAGTTGCATTAGCTCTCTGATGTTTTCCTGTTAGCAATGACAACCTGAATGGTTCTGGCTTGGAATACACATTGCAATAAAGAGCTGATCATGCCTGATACTTAATGCAACAGTGAGTCCTACAGTTACACTGTGACTCTTTGCTTATCCACTATGGTACCATGCCAGCAAGCGTTTCCAGGAGGATGCCGTTCCTAGCAAGTGAGTATGCGGAGCTGTGCGCTCTTAGATTTGCCTCTCCCGTCCCATGTCTCGGTTTCATCATCTGCTCTTAGATTTGCCTCTCCCGTCCCATTTCTCGGTTTCATCATCAGTAAATGGAAGTTATTCTGAGCTGGCTCACAGTTATGAACACCTTTCAAGCTCATATGATTGATGCTCATGTAATGTTTGGAGCTTCGTGCACGAATAAGAAAAAGAAAAGTAGATTCTCACTTTACTTTTTATCTAGTTTTGTAGAGCTGTATCTGAATTGCCCAGAACCCTCAGCATGGGCCTTTATTGAGGATTTTCAGGTGCCACATCGAATTCTTCTGCAGACCTCATGCCCTTTTTCTTGTTGTTGCACAGTGGTTTGAGCCTTCCCAGTTTGGGACTTGGTGGGCAATCCTGTCTACAAGCATGAACTTGGCTGGGGGCTTAGGCCCCATTGTTGCTGCTCTCGTGGCTCTGAACTACGATTGGCGTATGACTTTGTCCTTCTCTGGCTTCATCTGCGTGGTTGTCTCTTTTGTTTGCCTTGTCCTGATAAAAAATGAGCCGTCGGATGTTGGGCTACCCAACATTGAACAAGGAACCAAGAAAGGGAAGAAAGGTGAGCACTAGACTTCATTGTACATGGGGCACCCATAGGAGTAGGTGCCGTGCCTTCTGTCTGTATTCTGGTACAAATATGTCAGTGCACTGAGATCTGAGTCCTTTCCACTTCCTGAAATCGCTCTCAGCAGGATGTGTATAAGTGATTGTTTTCAGCAGCTTTCTTTTGGTGTAACGGCTGAGCTGTTGTGCTTAAATTATAAATCATATGTTCACACCCCAGTGCAATCTTGTGGGAAAGGGCTGGTGCACTGGCTTGTGAGACTGTCATGTCACGAAGCGCAGCCGAGGAAGAGGCTGACTTCCATCCAGTACTGTTCTTTGGTCTGCCACTGACCACGTGTGCATCCCGAAGAGGCTTGTAGCCATCTGTGTCGTCTCCCCATCTGTGCAATGTCTTCGTTTCAATAGTTCCCTGTTTTTGGGGGTGTCTTTGTTTATTTAGATTGTGAGCTGAGGTCTCCTGGGGATACTGGAGAGAGGGAAAAATGGAACAGCAGGAAATGGTTCCTTAGGCGTGACTTCCCTCTCCTCTGCGTTGCTAGAGTACGGGCAGTTCTCCCCTCACCCTGCCGCGGGTTTTGTTGACCTCTGGCTTGCAGCGGACTCTGCTCAGTGTTTTACGTCCTAACCTAGAACATCTAGTTAGTAAATGTTTGTTCAGCCCGCTGACCGTGATGCTGCTTTGAAAGCAAAACAGGTAGAAGAGAATTGCAACACAGGTTTGCTGTAGGCTTTTAAAGGCTGATGGAAACTCATCACATCTTCTATACTGTCCAGCGATAGCTGTGCTACTAAACCTGACCTCTTAGTATAAGAAAACAACATTGTTTTCCCAGAGTGTTTTTTGGGGGGGGAGGGAGGGGTAGGTTTGTAGGTGTTTCTGGAAGACTGATGTAAAATCAAGGTAACACTTGAAAATCAGCATCTTTGCCTGGATAGATGTGCTTTCTCTCACAGGCTGAGCTAAAAAGAAAAAAAAAAAAAAAAGGTGGAACAAAGCCTGGAGAAGTAGGTCACTTTTCTAATCGTCTTTGTGAATGGGTTATTAGCAACCAGGATGCAGAAAATTACTGGGAGCAGCATATGGATTGTTCTTCTGAACTCATTAATGACTATGAAATAAATTGACAGAAAAGTTTCTGAAATCACAGCAAACCCAGGACTAGGGGAAGGTAAAGTCATTCGTTATCAGCAGCTAGGAACATCTCCTTCTCTTAGGATGTCCTTATGCATGAATCGTGCTTGCAGATCTTTCTATGCTGCTACTGAGTCGGTGGGGTTTTGTGGCTGTGTTCAAGCGGTAGTAACGCTCCTGCTGATCTTTCTTGCAGGGTCCTCCAGAGACAATAGCACTCTGACAGAGCTGCTGCTCTCGCCATACCTCTGGGTGCTCTCAACGGGCTACCTGGTTGTTTTTGGAGTGAAAACATGCTGTACAGACTGGGGGCAGCTCTTCCTGATCCAGGAGAGGGGACAGTCTGTGCTTATAGGTAAGATGCCCAGCTGCGTGTTAGAGCTTTGTGGCTGCAATTTTGTCGAGTTCTGCAACATCCCCAAGGTGCAGCAAGAGGACACGGGTACCTCCATCTGAGCAGCTTTTTCCCCTACCCTCCTGCATGGCTGCTTAGATGCACGTCGGCATGGAAATAATCCATTGACGAAGTTGCTGCGTATGCCCAGTGCTGAGCGCCTCAGTACTGTCTTGCACCAGGGCCCACCTGGGACTGGCAGACTGGCATCCCTGCACCAAGACGAGCTGGAGGATCTTGTTCAGCAGAGCTGCTCTCTGCTCACAGTGAGCTGACAGTAGTTGAATTTGGTCTAAACCACAGCAACTCTAGCTGTGTTTTGAATGGGGAGATGGCAGGCACACCAACCTTCTTATGGAAGAGCCTAGTAGTGCACTTGTTGGGGAGGCTGGGAAACTGGATTCAGCGACCTTGTCTTGAAGTGCTTCAGGTGCATGCTGATCACATCCCATGAGAGTGCCCTGGCCACGAGGCTCAAGGCTCAGGTGAAGCTTGAGGCTTCCCTTGGAAGTTGTTCCTTGCAGCCAAATACGCGGATTTACTGGTGACGTGGAAACAGCTGCAGAAGGAGTTTGATGATGAGACTGTGGATAAGGGATCTCACTTCTCTCAGCATTGATTGGGGGGTTTTATCCAAATGCTCTCTTTCATATAAGCTGCAGCCTCTAAATCAGAGGCCGACTGAAGCTTGCTGCTTGGTTGCAAAAGGAGTTTATAGCTCTTTGGTCAAACCCTCAGCGTCGGCAGGAAATGCATGGCACAAAAGGACAAAGCTGGTTATTGGCAGTAATGCTGATGTCCGAACAAGATCTGGAGACTCAGTGGCACTGCTTGCTGCTTTTGTAGCTTTGCATTTACAAAGCAAATATAAATGTTGGCGTGTAAGCAAAGCGTAAGACATCTGTTTTGCTGCGGTGTACCTGCCCTAGGACAATGTGTCTTCTGAGCTACCAAGTGGCAAAGAGCAAACCAAAGTCAGCATCCAGTTCTTAGAACAGCAGAGACGGCGTCAGTCTGAAAACGTAAAACATAACAGATTGTTGTGACCAAACCTGATGCCCTGTTCTTTGCTTCATCTTTGCTTCATCCAGGTAGTTCCTACATGAGCGCCTTGGAGATTGGTGGTCTGGTGGGCAGCATTGCTGCTGGGTACCTTTCTGACAGAGCAGTAGCAAGAGTAAGTAATCTGGACCCTGAGATGTGCTGGGCAGTCACATAGCATCAATTTGAGCTGCCTCAGGAATTTTTACATTTGTTTTTGGCTTCCTTGGGCTTCCTTTATGAGTGCTTAAAGATGATTTTTTTTTTCCCCCCCCCTCTCTAATACCTGCACCAGTAGTGGAGCACGATGCTCCCCTTGTGAGCTCGTTTATGGTGCTCTGGAGACTCAGGATACCCAGAACGCAGAGGTAGGGAGTTGCTGCCTTATGCTAGAAAATAGCCGTTCTCAGTGTTATGTTTCTTTCTTCTGTCTTCGCAAGCTCTTCTTTGGGATGCAGTTCTGCATCTAAACCGCCCTGCTTTGAAAGTAGACTTTTGAAAATCAGACCGTTCTTTGGTCATTGACCCGTCTCTTTCCAGCCAGCCAGAGGTGGGTTGGAAGGGACGTGACCCATCTCAACAGTTTAACTAAGGTGCTTGACCATGCTCAGTCCATGGTGGTGTTGCCACTGCATGATACAATCGTGAGGAATAGAGCTGTACCCACTTCTGCTTTGTGCACCAAAACTACTGTTAAATACCGCAAAGGTTTTGAGAAATAGGTATTCCAGTGTTAGGGGTCATAATATGCCTCTGTGATGGGAGATTTAAGACGTTCACTCCCTTTGATTTACTGACTGTAATGTGCTCTAGAGATTTCTCTTTTGGAAGAGATCTGGTTGTTGACAGCTGTCTCCTGACTGGAAAAAACCAGCTGAAATCCAGTGGTTGGATCTGAAACCAAAAATCAAGATAGAAATAAGGCACAGTTTATAACAGAGTATCATTAATCACTGCAAGAACTTCATTTTAACACAGTGGATTCCGGACTGCAGGCAGTCCTTAGCAAGACTTCTGATCTGGATTTAAAAGATGTGCTTTTGTTGCACCGTCTTTGTTTCTGACAGGGCTGTGCGGACAGCGTTAGCTGCTATGACTATAAATCGTAGGAGCCCTTTCAGCTTCTAACCTTCAGTTTCTCTTCCTGCATTGCAGGTAGGTCTGTCAAACTACGGGAATCCTCGGCACGCGCTGCTGCTCTCCATGATGGCGGGAATGTGCGTTTCCATGTATCTGTTCCGGGTCACAGTCACAGGCGATTCTCCCAAGGTAATCCACGCATAAGCATCTGAAGCCTGTGTGCTAGTCCTGCCGGGTGTTCTTGTACCTGTGGGGTGTTGACAGGGGGAGAAGGTTGCTGCTTTGTGGCTTCAGGGAAACTGCAGGAAAAGGGTAGAACGGCAAGGTTAGCTTGTTGGGTTTTTTTTTAAGCTGAAAGGATGATAATATGCTTATTGCCAGTCAGCACAGAAGGGGCAGCTCCCCTCTTTCAAAGAGTTTGATCTAACTATTAAGAAAGCATTCTTGAGCGTTAATTTTAATGACAGGGATTTTTGGAGGCTCACCTTCACTTTATAAACCTTTTCTTACATGGGTTTATAGCGTTCCAAGATATCCTGTCTGATAAATTTGTAATCTGGATTATAGTTAATGAAACTTTCCTGTAATCTTGCCTCTGAACCATCTAGTCCACCCTTATGGATAGGGAACTTTTCTGCAGTCGAATAACTTAAAACTGCATAGCCAGTTTGAGTCGCTTTCGGTTGAGCTTATAAAATTGGTTAGAGTTCAAAGTTGTGGACCTTCCTCACTGCTTCGGCCTCTTTAATTCTTTCACTTCTGTGTTTTCAATAACATTTTCCATATCCCTTCTACCATGTAACACATTCTCACAAATAACAGAGAATGTTTGTACAGAGGACAAAGGAGGAGATGTACAAGCTAGCGTTCTCAAGCGTATAGGGGATATTAAAAATATAAAAATCCTTTTTGGTGGTGACCAGCTTTGGCCAGTTTTTGTCACTGTCACGACATTATCTTACGACAAGATCTGCCTCTGCAGGGGAAGGTAGGACATCTTTGCTAAGATAGCTGGTCAGCAGGGAGTTCAAATTTGATATCAGTTAGAGCTTTTGATAAATGTTGCTTCGAAGCTTCACTGAAGAAAAGCATGAGAGCTGACTGGAGTCTGAAGCCAGCCTAGAAACAGGATGCTGGTTTTTAATAGTGAGTATGTTTACACATTGCAATAGTTGTCTGTCAGACTTAGTGGTTTGCCATCACTTGCGGCTTTAAAGCAAGCTAGCTGTCTTGCCAAAACACATGCTAGCTCAAACAGTAGTTCTGGGTGCAGTGCAGGAATCAGCTTTGTAGAAGGATGGAAGAGCAGTATGTTTCTCTGTAGTGACTGTTCCTGCAGTTCCCCTTGATGCAAAAGCTGTGCAGAAAACAGGATCGGTTACATTTCAGCTTTAAAGTCAAATGTCAAGAAACGATGTGTTTGGATTCTGACTATTTGTAAGCGATAAAATCTTCATTAGGCAGAAGTTGTAGGGCTAGCTCTTTAACGGTGAAGAATTTCGTAATAGGAAGCGTGACCGTTTTCTTCGCCCTCCACCAGAACTATAGGTTTGCATTTCCTTTGTTTGCACTACGGAGAAGTGAGTTAACTTCGTCTCTATTAGACTGCTGCTGCTGCTGCCTAAGTCGGTTAACTGGCTATGGTATAGGCATGCTTCTGTCCATCGTTCCCTAACGTTTGCTAAGCAAACAAAATTTTTTTTTCTTCTTTTTCTTTTTCCTTTTTTCTTCTTCAGGAAAATGACGTCTGGACTGTAGCCTTGCAACCTCTAGCTGATCTTACTGGCCTAAAAGAACATGAGGTTTCTGCCTTGCGTTTCTTTCTGCCTTTGCCTGTTTTTGCTTTCACTGATCTGTCCTTTTCCTGTCCTGAAAGGTTGGTTAGCGCTACAGAACTTATAACCAGGGCATTAAGAAGATTACTGTAAGTCTTGTAAAAGAAACCTCCTCTTAAATGCATTTTATTAAGCAGGCTGAACTTTAAAAAGTCTGAATGTAAAACTTGTAAATTTCTGTGTAAAAAGTTCTGAGGATGTTTGTTCATCAGGTAAAACGTAGCCAGGCAAAGGGTCTCGTAGCTGAGGCACAGGACTGGAGGTCAGGAGGACTGATTCTGTTCCTGCAGCAGTCTTCCTGCTTAATTTTGGCAAGCTCCTTCCTAACTCTTCATTTCTGTTTCTCATCTGGAAAAGAAGATGCTATTTACTCTCTCCTTGGCATTTTGAAGTTATGTTTCTTATTCATAAAGCATGTTGTAATCTCGAGATGTCAAGTTATTCACCCTTTGTTGTCCTTTCATAAGTGTTTGAAACATTTTGAGCCACGTAATTTTCTTAGAGCATAAGCTAACGTTGAAGTTCAAACTGTGTTTTTAGTAACAAAGCGGCTATCAGATAGTGGCTTCTCACACATAAAGATGTTTTGATCGGCAGCTTTTATCTGAAATGAGAATGGCTTTTAGTCAGTTGCCTCCAGAACCATTTTTAAAAGTGATTGATTCACAGTTCTCTTCAGTCATTTCAAAGGCTCATTGCCCATCTCTCTTCTAAGTTCTGGTCCTTTCTTGCAGAACGGTGCATGTTGCATGTAAGCAGTATGGAGGTCAGAACTGTAGGAGAGAGGAGAGTTAGTGCTGGCTGACGAGATGGTGGGCTGGAGAGATGCCGCTGGGCTTGCACGTACCTGGCAGTGGGGTCTGTCATAGATGTTAGCTCTTTTTTCTGCAGGCCAGGGAGTTGGCATTAGCTAGAAAATGTCCACAGTTCTTTCATGTACTGTGCATGGCAGTTAAGAGTTGTAAGTAGTTGTGGCTGACAGTGCTAAGATGCAAAGATCCCACTTCTGATCTTGCTTTACTTGTTTCAGTAGCTGTGGATACTGACTCTCGGAGCTGTGTTCGGGTTTTCTTCGTATGGCCCCATCGCCCTCTTTGGGGTTATAGCCAACGAAAGCGCCCCCGCCAACTTGTGTGGTACCTCCCACGCCATTGTGGCTCTCATGGCCAATGGTAAGTCACACCCGTTTCCCTTTCCCCAAAAAAACAAACAAAACCCATGTTTGGTCTTGCTGAAGTATGGTCTGGCCCCCAAGGGAATCATGGGAAGTCATCTAACAGGGGCAGATAATCCGTGTGGAAGCGATAGGTACTCTTTTGCAATTAGCTGTCATGTGCCTCAGAGGCAATAGATTTGAGACCTCCCTAATAACCGTATTTTGTGCTTACTGATTGATTCTTCCACCCACAAAGAAGGGTTCTAGGCTGCACCTGGTGCTTCTTATCTGCAGTAGGCTTTGGAAACCGTAGATATTCATATGGATTCAAAAGGATGGAAGTACAAATGGACAGATCCTTTCATGGTTGTTCCCCTAGCATGCAGCTCAAGAGGTAGGATTTAAATCATGGACTGTTGTGAGGATATAGCTGGATGGGAGGAACCCTGTCACCATAGTGTCTGTTCTCAGCCATTGTTGGCTAGCTAGAGGGATCTGTGGCCTGACCCAGCAGCGCTGTTAGGATTTTATCCTTAACAGGCTGGCTGTATGGAGATGTGCCAGTCTGCCTCCTACGTTTCCTTTGCGTAGCCTTTTGAGACTTTGCTCAGGAAGGTTTTTAAGAAACTTGCTCCCTTCTAGTCTTAGCTGAGTTCTTCAAAGCCCGTTAGAGTAGGTGGATTCTTACACGTGAGAATACCTTTTTCTATCTTAAACTCACAATTTGGAGGCCGTTTCCAATGCTTGGATGAGCAGACTTGACCTACGTTTAAAGTTAGGAGTTGGCCCAATTTTGTTTGAATCTGGATTCGCAAAGCAGTTCAGAGGATGTTCTCGCCCTAAAGCCCCATTAATCCAATGTGACCAAGGTTATGCCCAAGCCGCGAGGTGCCAAAGCTTGGAGCCAGCCCTTGAGGTTTACCCGGGTTGGGTTTTGCCTATATCCACACGCCCTTCCTGCCGCAGGCGATTCTCTCCTTTGTACCCATTAGTACTGAACTTCAGTCTTGTGCTTCCCCAAATGCAAGGTTTGCAAAGTACTGTTCAGTGATGTGTCTTGGATGTAACCTTACTTACAGTAAGGACGCTGTATCTAACAGAATATAGAGAACATCTGATAGAGCTAGGTGCCACTGGAGATGTCCAGGATATGGTGACTAAGCCTGCTCAGCTATGCTAGCCTACACACAGCCTGTAATATGTATGTGTATATAGAGAGAGAGAGAGGGAGAGCGCGCACAAGAGCGTGAGCTGTATGTGTAAAACAGCGCAGAAGAATAGGACATGGTTTTCCCGTAAATGAATAGGAACCACTTTTTGCCACGTGGCTTTCCTGCAGCCAAGGAAAGGGGTGGCCATAGACTGCTTGCTTATGTGTTCTGAAACACCAGCTTACTCGAAGCAAAGTTCAGGTGTTAGTCATTGCATCCAGTGCCCTGGGAGCATCCAAAATATTTCCTGATATATCTTACAGGCTTTTGTCCAGTACTTTAAGTTCAGATCACGCCTGAGGAATTTTTATAAATGCAGAAACGAGTTAAATAGCAGTATTAGCAAATGAAATTCAGAAGTTCAAGTGTTACTACTATTCTTTTGTTGTTGTTTTTTTTCCTTACAGTTGGGGGTTTTCTGGCTGGACTACCGTTCAGTACCATTGCCAAACACTACAGCTGGGCCACAGCCTTCTGGGTAGCTGAAATCACCTGTACCGGTAGCACAGTGGCCTTCTTCTTATTGCGGAACATCCGCACCAAGATGGGTCGGCTTCCCGAGAAGGCTGACTGAGGATAAGCTGCTTGGTCAAAAGGATGACCCTACACTGACAGGAAGGATGCACGTTTCTTTATTTACTGGCCTAGGAGCGCCTTACCTATTGCTGCAACCTAGATAAAAATGTCTCAAATTCTCATTCGCTGTCACGTGCCTGAAGGCATAAAGTTCCTGGTACTGGTACTTTTTTCCTAGAAATGTGATAATTCAGCTCGTTGACATTCGCAAATGTCTTACCATACCTCCTCTTCACAGCACTGTTCGTGATGTAAGCAGGTTTTGCAGCCTGAGCTACTAAACTGAAAGTACTGTAAAATGACTGGCTTCAGGTGCTGTCACATTCAGTTTTGTCCTTATCGTTGGTCTTAACCGTTAACTGGCAACTGAGCCTCACTGTTTAGGGGCCCTGAACTGAGGCTTTGCTACTTTCATTCAGCCCTCCTAGCTGCTTGAGTGCAGCTGTCTTAGTTTATTAGGTATGAGCTCCCTGCTGTCTCTGTGTCCTGGAACAGTGGCAGACCTGTGAGTAACAATTACTGGAGCGTTGCTTTGCAGCTGACGCAAGGCAGCGTCCTGTTAGCTTTACCCTGGATTAGCTGGTACAAGCTAGGGTGGTGCTGCATGTGCTGCTGTGACATGGCTCTCTCTCCAGCACTTAGAAATAGGCAAGCTTCCCAGAAATTCTTGGCACTTCAGGGTAAAGCACTTAGTTAGAGGAGCGCCTTCTGTTGAACTGATCCTGCCCAGAGTGATTTGCACGTACGGTGTTAATGATTTGCAAGGTGGGCAGCTGCTGCCAAGGCAACTTGCAGAAAGCAGTCTGCAGACCAACCAGGAAAACTGACCCAGCAGCAGGTGTTGCAACAGCAACTACCGCAGGCCCACGTTTTCTGCAGCTGGGTTTCATAACCTGGTATTTCTAGAATTGGCTTGCATTTTTCAGTAGTGTGGCATGTCTGCAGTCAAAAGCTGGCTCTCATGGCTGTAGGTAGTAGTTAGGGTCACCTCTGAGAGAAGGCCTTAGCAAAGCTACTGCTGACAGTGAGCAGCCATTAGTAGTCAAACCCAGTGGTCTCTGCAGTTAAGTTGCCTCAGGTTTTTTTACCAGGATTTTGTCGAATATTCTTGTATTTCTCCAGAAGGATTTATTGCTTTAGGGTCCTGGAAGAAGGAAGTTCAACTCATGAACAACCTCTACACAGGTACTTTGCTGAACAGATTAGATGCAAGAGTAGGTAGCCCTAATGAAGATAACGGACGTAAATTACATGTTGTACTTAATTGTAAGATCTACCACCTGTGAAATAAAAATGAAGCAGTATCATAATAGCTCTGGTTGTCCTATGGAGAATGGTGAAAGCAGAACCATCCAAAACAGATTATCCTCCTGAGGCACTGCCGGGGAACTACCGCAAATGTGTACCCTAACAACAGAAAACAAATAGCCATCCAACTCTTTAAGGAATTGTTTATCATTTCTACACAAAGAATCTTTGTGAAACCATAAATTAGAGCTATACAGGAAGAATACGTATGTACAATTATGAAGTAAAACATGACTACAGTAGGGCCACAGAACGGCATCTTTTCTTTCTTTCTTCATTCAGGACCAGTAGAGCTGCAGTAAGAGAATCAGCTTCTGTGGCCCAAGGTGAACAATAGTAACAAGTCTGTTTAAGGTAAATGTCACACAAAGGCTATACGAAGCATGTTTTTGGAAGATGAAGTTCCTGCTGTGGAGGACAGAGCTCTGGGAGAGGCCAGGTGGGGAAGAGACATGCCCTGCTCTTTAGGGAAAGTAGTTCGTGCAGCAAGCAAAACTTTTGCTACGATCCAGGCCCAAATGGTCCAGCTTTTTCTGCGACCTCCAAAGCAAGTTTCAAGTTCTGATCAAACAACTCGCATCTGAAACGTTCAGAAAATCAGAATGAGATGACTTCACTTGCAGAACAGGCTAACAAAGACAGGACCTATGCATCCTTTGGCTCTACATCTTTCAAGAGACTCCCTGCGTCAAGAGGCAGTGACTGGACAGCTCTTAAGTAAGATTAAGCCCCTTGTGTGGGTCTAGTGTTATGATGGGGCTGGAAGAAAAAGTACCTCCCATTTCTCCAAGAGAGCAGCACTGGAGGAACTGTTAAGTGTCAGTGTCCTGTACCTGCAGCAGTGTGCTGTGTTCTCCCTTTCTGTGGCCACTTAAATTACTTGAGAGCTGTCAGCATTTGCTACTGCACAGGCAAAAAGTGAAGAGGCGTTGAGGCTATGTTCCATATTGAATATGGGATTTGCCCTTACCTGATTGGCATTTCCAGTGAGTAGAAAGGATTCTTCAGAGCAAAGTCAGAATAAATCTCATAGATCTTGCGCAAGAGGGAATCTATCCCCGATTGTCTCGGGTCAGCGAGTACCACAAACTTGATCCCTAGAGTCACAGAGGCGTAAGCATGAAGACAGGGGGGCCTTTAGGGTGTGAGTGGGGGTGTTTCCCCAGGACAGTGAGGGGGATTCAGCCCGCTACCTGTCAGCGTCTGGAAGCAGTGCAGCTTGAAGGTGTCTGTCTCCAGCATCTCGATCCCAGAGCTCCCCAGCTCGGGGGACAGCTGTGACCCGATGGCGAAGAGCCTGCGTGGAGACAGCCCTCAGCAGTGCCCGCCGCCCGGGCGCCGCCCCCCCTGCCCCGCCCCCCCCCGGCGCGGCTGGCGCCCCCCACGCGGCGG